GCGCCTTCGTCAGAACGGCAGATTACCCCCCCCCCCCCCGCTCACCCATGGCCACCTTTTCACACTTCCAATCTAGGCCCTACTGACATAGTTTGTCTGTAGCAAATAATTCTGCTTTTATAGCCCATGTTTATGGCACAAGCCAGCAGCCGTGTGCACTGTACAATGTGTGCGAGATGGCCCATATCGGCCCATATTAAGTGATAGTATGGATAGTTTACTCCAGAGTGGAAACAAAAGTAAGATGAAACAGTTAAGCATGAGAGACTGGTGGCCATATGGAATGGGTATTCCGCTGCAAGACGATCGGAACCTAGAGAAGAAAGGCATGACTGCTTGAACTGTTTCCTTTGGAACGAGGATACCTCGACGATAACGTGGCGTGGCGCGGGAGGAAACAGATTAGGCCGTCATGCTCTTCTTCTTTAGGGCCCTCTTGCCTTCGAGCGCAATACCCTATGCCATGCCAAAGATTCATGCGTTAAGGCAAATGTAGCTAAGTTTGTTTTTCTTTTCTTCCGCTCGAATGAACCTTTGGAGTATCGTGACCCACAATAACAGTCGCTGTCGCGATATTCATTTGGGACCGTCTCACTCACCGTGAGTCCAGTTTGTGCGGGCGCCCCGCCGGCAGGGGCAGCCTCGGCGGCCGGCGACGCACTGGCCGCCGTCGAGGCGGCAGTGGTGGCCCCCGAGTCCGCCGCCATCGGCGTGGTGAGCAGCACCTCCGCGTCGGGGGCGGCGGAGGACGACGTCGGCGGCGCCTCGGGCTGCATCGTCGCGTTGAGCATCATCTGCTGCAGCTCCCGGAACGTCGTGCGGAGCGGCTTCTCTCCGGCGGGGTCCTTGCTCTGCGACGTGGCCGAGTTGAGCTGCGAGTCGAGCAGCAGCAGTCGCAGCGCCTGCGTCGACACCTCCGTCGTGTTGATCTCGAAGTCTGGGTTCTCCGCGTTGGCCGCCGCGTCCACGATGGCCATGATCTTGGCCATGTACGAGATGCGCAGCACGACCAGCTCCTTGGAGGACAGCCCCGCGGGCTCGGCGCTCGGCCCCACGTGCGGCCAGGGCGGCCGCTCCGGGTCGTCGACGACGAGCCGAGCCGCCAGGAGGCCGCTGTCGGGGAGGGGGTTGTTGTTCTGGGGCGGCAGCAGCTGCAAGACGACAACCCTCAGTCCCTGCACCAGGGCCAGACTGGGCTGGAGTGCCAACATTTCCCTCCCCGACCCCACCATGTTTCGAATATGGAGCCGCCCCCCTGGCCAGTCGAAATAGGGTGAGGAGGTGGTTGGTGGTCGCTGGTGAGACACTCACGTGCATGATGAGAGTCTCATTATCGGGCTTGGTGTCGTCCTTCTCGAGGCCGATCTCGACCAGGATGTCCTTGCTGATGAAGCGCTGCGCTGCCGCCAGGGTCTTGGCGAGCTGCCAGCCCCGCACCGTGACGTTGTTGGGCATGCCGCGGGGCAGCGACAGGTTGGCCAGCAGGTCCAGCATGGGGTCCAGCCCCAGCTCCTCCAGCTGCTCCGTGTCGACGCACGACTTGTAGAAGCGGTGCGCCATGACCACGGGCTCGGGGTCGCTGTCCGTCACGTTGATCTGCAGCACGTCTGCACACCGACCAGGGGGAGGTAGGCGACGCGATGCCGATAGGCTCTCGACACGACTCGGCGACGACAGCTCTTAGGTGAAGCGTGTACTCACCGATGACCCTCCGCTGCTGCGCGTCCTGCCGCTCCAGGAACCACGAGTTGTAGATGTGCGAGTCGAGCACCGGGTGCGCCTTGGGCCAGCGCCCGCACGCGTAGCGGTAGAAGTCCTGGCAGGGGTCGGCGGCCGGGTCAATCCCTTGCAGCAGCATGGCGGCTGTAGTGACAGTGACGGCCAGGGTATTGATAGTGGATCCCTCGCAAGGCTATCATGCAGCAGTATTTCAAGGCCGCAGGCGGCGGGGTCGGCGTCCCCTGGAGGCATCGGGCCGGGCATCGAGCGGCGCTGGTCCCTGGCCGTGGGCGGCGGCGTGAGTCAGCGGCACCCGCGGGCTGCGAGGGTGCAGCGCGCAACCACCACGGCACCAAGCGAGTGCTGCGTACTTTTTACTTTTCTCGCACGGCGCGCGGCGTTTGACTTCGATCCCGGCCAGTCGGCCATTGGGCCTGAGCCCCGCCGGCCGGGTAGGCAACCCTCCGGCACGCGACGGGCCGGGGGCGGGGCCGGGGGCGGGGCCGGGGGCGTTGGCAGCGAGCGCCGAGTGCCCAGCTGACCGCCCCGCCCCGCCCGCCCGCCCGGCTATGTCCTCCGCGTCCCCCGCAGAGCAATCGAGCTCCCTGTCCGTCCCCCCGGTCGTCCCGTCCCACGCGCCTGTTCGCGGGCATGGGCGAGGGCCCCGTATATATGGCATGCGCAGTACACCGTTACGACACACGACCCTCGTGCTCCGAACACTTTCGGGGGCGGGCTCACCTGACAGCACGCACTCCTCGGTGCGACACTCCTCGTGGCTCCAGAGGCGGGAGCTCGTGTAGTCTGAAACATAAGAGAGGGGCTGGTCAAGCCGCCTGAAGGGTAGGAAATTTGCGCTACAACGCCCCTGCACGTAGGCAACCGACAGTGCACCGCCCCTCCTGCCATCCGGACCTTAATCCGCGCTTGTCAGTTGGACGGGCCCCGTGCACCACCTGCTGCATCGAGCCCTCCTCGTGCTCCTCGTGCATCCGCTGTCGGCACGTTGCCCCCTCCCCGTTCCCGTCCCCCTTCCCCAACAGCCCGTTATTGCCTCCGCCCTCATTGTACTGCGACTATAGAGTAATCTACCCCCTTTGCCTGGCCTTTTCAAGACTCTCCCAGCCCACCTCCCCCCTCTCTCGATCAACTAGCTCCCCCCCTCACGGTCATTGACCTGTGTGTCTGACATTGGTTCGGTTGGAAAAGGCTGCTCTATCTATTACCATTCGTGCGACCCGGTGCGACCACTCCGACCACTCCGACTACACCGACCACTCTACTCTCTGGTTCCCTCCCCCACCCCACTTCAGTTTATGATCTAACTCCCGCGCACAGCACACCCCTTCCCATGCACGGTCCGCCGAGAAGCCGGAACAGCGACGGCACGCGAAAATTTCGACGGTTATTATCAGTTTGCACTGAAACGTCGCACGCCTGCATGTGCAGTGCGCCGAACCCGGCTAAACCGACGCTGTTGTGCTTTCCGCGGCGGCACCAATATCGCGATCTGCGGAAAAACACCGGCAACGTCACGAAGCGGGCCGACGTTGTCCGGACGACCCGCCCCGCGCGGGGGCCCCGGCGCACCCGGTCACATGGGTGGGGTCGTCATGGTGCCACCGGAAGCGACCCGGCGAGCGAGCCGGGTGACGGCGCCGCGCAGACGGGCTTCTAATTATTACGACCCACTTTCCCATTTGTATAGATGGCTGAGCACTCAGATACTTTTCTAGTTTGGTGGTTTCAAAGTTCTGCCTATTGCCCCTCCCGACGGTCCTTCCTTCCATTCCATTCTTGTAGCACAATACTGGATCCAGCTGCCGCGGGCCGGTGAAGGGGATGGAGGGAGAGAGAGAGAGGGGGGGATCCAGCTGCCGCGGGCCGGTGAAGGGGATGGAGGGAGAGAGAGAGAGGGGGGGGGGGGGCGGGCTTGCATTGCGTTCTCCCCCTCCCCCTCGCACAAACTCATCAGCGTGGGGCGGGGCCATAGCGTGCCCCTACGACACACAACGCACTCACTCACACACCAACACACATTCACCCCCGCATACATGCAAACTCTCTCACTTACTCACTCACACGCTACAAACTCATTGTCCTGCGCAATCAATAATTTGGGGGTCGATTTTGAAAAGCCGACGGGTAGGGGTGACGCCGGAAAGGCAAAGTAAACGAGCGCGTGTCACTACCCTTCCTTATCATGAGCTACCCCCCCCCCCCTTCCCTTTCCCCTCCCCGACGGAAGTGGGCAGGTGGGAGGTCACTCCGCAGGCTAGGCTAGGTCAGCGGGGTACAGGCCCTGCTACTACTGAGGATGCGGGTGAGAGCTCCTCCCCACCAATTTAAGCTTACATCAATTTTTCTGTTTGTTTTCTTGATTTTTCAATTGTTTCTTCCGATGCTTCACCAGGATAGTTTTGACTGATTGTCTGGCGTTTTTTGCGATGCACACTGACTTTCGTTCGAGGCGAAGTACGTATTGCCCTCAGGGTACTTACACAGCGAGGAGACGACGATGAGGCTGACGAGTAGGACGAGCACGAGCAGGCCCAGGGCCGCGGCCACGAGCAGGAGGCGGCGGCTCTCACCGTCCAGCAGCCGGCGTAGCCTGCGGTGGAAGGGCGCGTGATGAATTAGAACAAAGTAGAACGTATTTTCACACATTCACACACAATTTGAAAGTGGTACACGCATTACACACCCTGCCTTTCTGCTGCTGACGGTGACAAGCTTCTCTGTGCTGCCCTGAGTGCTGCCCCGGGTGCTGCCCTGGGTGCTGTCATGGATGCTGCCCTTGGCGCTGCCCTTGGCGCTACCCTGGGCGCTGCCCGGGGCACTGCTCTGGGTGCTGTGGGCGACGCTCATCTTGGCGTCTCTGTCCACATCCTGCCGCCCGCGTCTCGAAGCCTCGGCGACCACCACACCGCCCGCAGGTCATGTCATGGCGATCAGCTGCTGCTGCTGCTGCTCTCGGTTCGGCTCCATGGTGCTGGACAGCGAGTGCATTCTGTCGACGGCGTCCTGGGTGTATGGTGTCGTCGTCCTGCAGCAGCCGCACCGGCGGCGGCGAGGAGTGCCTACCTGCGCGGGGCGTGCCGCTGTGCTCCGTCTGACGCCCACGGCCCACAGCTGACTGGTGGCGAGCTGACTCGCGGTTGATCGCTACCCCGCCGCTGTCTGTCCCTGGCCCCCCTGGCTGGCACGGGGAGGGGCGCCGCACAGAGGCCCCACAGGGGTGCGCGGGGTGGACAATGAGCCCCTCCGCATGGGGCGGTGGGCCCTGGGCCTGGGTCCCCATCACAACAAGGCACTTACCTGCTACTCCACGCCCCCTCACAAGCTGTACTTTAATTATTTCAACCTCGTATGAAATAAAAGATAACGAAAATGTATTACTTTTATTGGAGGGTTATCGACGGTTACAATCAGGGCTGGCTGGTTTGTGCTGTACAATAATGCCTCAGAGAAGCTAGAGGAGCGGACACGGGTGGAGCTGGAACGATTTGGTCTGTCGCGCGTCGATCGCTGACATGAGTTCAGTATTTGGCTCAGAATGCCGTAGACGCGGCACCTGACGTCACTGTTGGCGCTGACGGCACTGACGGCGGCCCCGCGGTCGGCACAGCTGGTGGAGGTGGAGTCAACACGGACGTTGGCGTCACAAACGCACCGGGGGGTTGAGGCTCGGAAGACACGGACACAGAGGGCGGGTCTTCAGGTTGTGCTGCCGCCACGAGGACAGGCGCTAGGGACTCTGTGTACGGAGGTGGCGCCGTGGACGCGGGTTCACTCAGCACTGGGATCACTGTCATCGATGGGGGCGCAGATGGCAAAGGCGCTGCCGGCGCTAACACCGTTGGCATTGCATGAGTAAGGGAAGGTGGGGTCAATTGGGACACGGGGTACATTGGGACACCTTCAAATTTGCCGCCTTCCGGTGGTCGGAGAATCTGCCAATAATTCTCGGTTATAGCCCAGCTCGAGTTGTTTCGTTTCCACAAGGCGGTGACCAACCTCGTCGATCTAGGGTGGAGGCAGCTGGATGCAAAGTTTTTATCCACGAAAAACAAGGTAAAAGCAGCACGATCAGCAAAGTTTGTTTCTTTTGTAACGTTCGAAGTATTTGTAGGAAGACCATTTCGAGCTCGTGGGCGTGTACCTTGGTCCTATGGCCGTCTGTGAGTCTTGTCGTGTCGCGCTCGGTTTTGAGGTTAGGGAGCTAGACCGCGTCCACGTTGGCATGTCTCTCGGTACACATTGGGACAGGGTCGAACGGGGCACATTGGGACAGCCGGTTGAGTGTCCCAATGTGCCCCGTTTGTTTTTTAGGTTAACTTTTTAGTGTAACAATGACAACAAAGCATTTTTTTACGCTTTTTCCTCAGAAAATGCCTCGAAAGAGATCCGGGGAAAGGAAGAATGCCACTTTCGACAAAGAAACCATCGCGGAGGCCGTGAAAACAGTCCGATCAGGGAAAAGTATTCGACACACTGCGAAGGAGTTTGGCCTCTCAAAATCAACTCTCCAGCGGTACGTTGACGGTACCAAAGATCAAGAGGACCTGTCCAACGCCAAATTGACCCCGAACTACGCGTCGCGGCGGGTCTTTACCGAAGTCCTACGGATCACAGATGGCACAGATGGAGGAGACTCTGCTGTAATGACCAGTTCTGACGAGGACACAGCTGGAGAACGCTCTGTGGTCACTGCCACCACAGAGGATACAGATGAAGGGGTCGCCGTTGTCATGACAACCTCCGAAGACGCAGCTGGAAGACTCTCTGTGGGCACGGTCACCACCGAGGACACAGCTGGAGGGCGCTCTGTGGACACGGTCACAGTCGAGGTCCCAGCTCGAGGACGCGCTGTGTTTATGGTCACCACCACCGAGGACACAGCTGGAGGACGAGCTGCGGTCACTGTCGCCGACGGGGGCGCAGATGGAGCGGCGAGCGGCGGGGCGGAGGCTGGACGTCAGAGGGTCTGTCTCTTGAGCTCCCTGTCCTCGTCGCGTAGCTCCAGGTAGTAGCTCAAGATGTGAAGCCAGAAGTAGAGCGACAGACCTGTAAGCACAGAGAAAGGAAGTGAAGGTCGTGAAGGTGAATACGACTTCTGATTCGCCACCATACATACGTTGTTTTGTTGTAATCGGGAGAACAAGTCGAACCTATTTAATTATTGGACTAATGTTCAAGAGGCTATTGTAGCACTTACGTTTTACGTCAACAAGTATGAAAATCAGTTAAGTTAAATCTCATTCTTCCCAATCTTTGGGGTGTATCATTTTCCCCTACTTTCTACTTCCACGTTCCTATGTAAAAGGAGTGAGTAACGTCGCCCTCTTTGAGCCCAGCCCAGCTCCACTCAACAAACGCTGTGGTCCAGAACAAGCCCGGGTCGCATTGGCTAGGTCCTGCCCGCCGGTTCCTCACGCTCGTGCCCGTGCATGCCTAGCGCACGACCCGGCGCGCGGAGCGGCATACGAAGCGCCACTCGCGTCTCTTAAGTAATCTGCTGCCTGCTGCCAGGTTGTTTCGCACTGTTTCCGATTCGACGGCAGCCTTCTCACCTAGTATGGGCACGGAGCCGAGGGCGGCGATGGCGGCGATCTTGACCGGCGTGGTGATGATGGCGACGATGCTCATGACCAGCATGAAGAGCAGCGCGAAGGCGAACCAGATGAGCGCCGGCATGAGGAGCCGCCGGTTCTCCTGCAACGGCCGCCCAGTTTAAGTCACGTGTACCTCGGTAGCGTAGTCTGAGTATCAAATGGACAACACACAAAAGGGGGGGGGGTCGCGATTACCTTTTTGCATCCGTAGATGAGCGCGATGTCGATGGCCAGGTTAATGAGGCCGTTGAGCAGCGCTATGGACCCGGCGAGCGCTGCAACCAAACAGGGGACTCGGTGAGTAGAGTCAGTCCCGGGCGTGTCCTCGGCGGCGTCCTCGTGATGACTGATGAGGCTGCCGTCCGGACCTACCTTGCTGGATCTTCATGGTGCGGATGGCGGCGGCCACGGCAGCCCTCCTGCTGTTGGAGGGCAGCCTGGGCGTGCGCAGCTGCTCCGGGAGGTGCTCCTGGGGGATGAGGTCCGCCATGATGGCGAGGAGCAGCACGCCGACGGCGATGTTGAGGATCGCCCCCAGCTGGCGAACAAGACCGCGACCGCGTCTCAGGTAAGAGTTAGAGGAGCTCCTCGGGTGTTGGCATAAAAAGGTTGTCGAAGACACCCGCAAAAGCCAGCGCAGCTAAGCGCGCGGTGAGACCGGGGCGCCGGGTGGTCAGGCCACTCGCCCGCAGCAGTGCGCGACCACACGGAGTTTGCCTACCCGCCGGGGGCTCCCGGAGGGTCGGTGGGAGGGGGACTCACCAAGCCGAGCCACGCCTGGATCCGGACGCACGTCCGCAGCTCGCAGCAGAAGCACCCTCGTTGCAGGAGAGCCATCGCGGACACCTGCAAGGTCAGGGAGGTCACCGCGTGTTGTTTCTCTCTCTCTTCCCAGGCCCGCGCGCGGAGCTCGTGGAGCTGCTCTACGAGGCTCGCCGAGTCCTGGTCCCCGCGGCACACGACACTGCGTCCCCGTGTTGTCCTACTCCGCGTGCACAATCATCCAATTCCCGCTCGCTGGCGGGGTGGG